CAGCGTCAGGTTAGGAGCCCTGGCGTCAGGTCAGCGGGTACCGATGGCCCCAGAAGGGGGGAGGCGATCTGTCTTTCGAGAGGAGACTCATATGGGGCGCAGACGATGAGTAGGGGAACGACAAATTGCATCAACATAACAATTCGGAGGTCCGCGCGGGCCTCCGAGTTTTCATGTTTATGTCATGTTTCGTTCCCCATCAAGGAGTGCATCCTGAAGCTTTGGCATCGCTCGGACGTGTGCATTTTTCCTTCGGCGAGGGCCATCGAGGAGCTTCCTTGACCATGTGGCGAAAAAACCACGCACGAAACCCAAAAAACACACAAAACATGGACGTCCGGGCGATGGGATGGCGAGGAAGGCGTCGGCCAGCGCGCGCGGCGCTCTGCGAAGCGCGGCGAGCGGCGGCCGAGCGAAGGGTCCGGAGAGCTGCGCGAGCCAGCGCACGGGGACGCGGGCGCCCTCGGGGCGCCGACGGGGCGGCGACCGGGCGAGAAGCCAGCCATGCCATCCATCCGGGGCACCGATGGCGGGGGGCACAGGCAGAGGGGGGGGATGCCGCGACCCCCAATCGCCCACTGATCGCCGACAGAGGGGGTCCGATGGCCCCAACCCGCCCAGGGAGGTGCGGATTCACGGTCGGGGGCCTGTCGCCGATCTATCGGCGAGGTATCGCGGATTGCAGGCCCCCAGAGCTCCGATGTCGTGGCTTTTTCCATACGCGGTCCCCAGAAGTCTCCACCCATTCCCCGGGCCGGGTTTTCATCCCGAGTCGTTTTCTGACGGTCCTGGGGCCCGGCGAGGGCCTCTAGAGGTCGGAAAGAGCGCGTTCTGTAGTCGCCTGGAGGGGGGGGGGTTGGAACTGGACCCCCCCCCAACCCCCCTCGATGGAGGGGGGGGGGGTTCGAACCCCCCCGCCCCCCCCTCCCGTGACGAAGGGGGGGCGGGGGGTTCAAGCCACCCCCCCCCTGCTTCCCCTCTCCTCGGGCCAGCGCTTGCGTCGGCGGCGGCTGGCGACGGCGGCGGGGACGACGATTTCCATTTCCGGGCCATCGCCGGCGCCCGCGGCGGCGGGCGGCGCGGTGGCGGGGAGCGTCGACGAGGACGACGGTGGTGGTGGTGGTGGTGGTGGGTTGTGGTGGTGGTGGTGGCGGTGGTGGTGGTTGTGGTGGTGGTGGTGTGGTGGTTTATTGTGGTGGTGGTGGTGGTTGTGTGGTGGGTTGGTGGTGGTGGTGGTGGCTTGGTGGTGGTGTGGTGGTGTTTTGTGGCGATGGTGGTGGCAGTGGTGGGTTGTGGTGGTGGTGGTGGTGGTTTGGTGGTGGTGTGGTGGTGGTTTGTGGTGGTGCTGGTGGTGCTGCTGGTGGGTTGTGGTGGTGGCGGTGGTTTGTGGAGGTGGTGCTGGTGGTGGTGGTGGTGGCGGTGGCGGTGGTGGTGGTGTGGTGGTTAGTGGTGGTGGTGGTGGTGGTGGTGGTGGTGGGTTGTGCTGCTGGTAGTGGTGGTGGTTGTGGCGGTGGTGGTGGTGGTGGTGGTGTGGTAGATTGTGGTGGTGGTGGTGGTGGTAGTGGTGGTGGGTTTTTGTGGTGGTGGTGGTGGTGATGGTGAGTTGTGGTGGTGGTGGTGGTTGTGGTGGTGTGGTGGTGGTGTGGTGGTGGTTTGTGGTGGTGGTGGTGGTGGGTTGTGGTGGCGGTGGTTTGTGGACTTCTGGGGTGGTGGTGGTGTGGGTGGTGATGTTGGTGGCGGTGGTGGTGGTGGTGTGGTGGTTTGTGGTGGTGGCGGTGGGTTGTGCTGCTGGTAGTGGTGGTGGTTGTGGCAGTGGTGGTGGTGGTGGTGGTGTGGTAGGATTTGGTGGTGGTGGTAGTTGCGGTGGGTTTTTGTGGTGGTGGTGGTGGTGGGTGGTGGTAGTGGTGAGTTGTGGTGGTGGTTGTGGTGGTGGTGGTGGTGGCTGTGGTGGTGGTGGTGGTGGTTGTGTGGTCCTGTTGGTGGTGGTGGTGGTGGTGGTGGTGGGTTGAGGCGGTGGTGGTGGTGGTAATGGTGGTGGTGGTGGTGGTAGTCGTGGTAATCGTCGCTGCGCCCCCGCCGTCGCCGGCGCCAGCGCCGGCGCTGCTGGCGGCCGCCAGCGCCGGCGCCGGCGCGAGGGGCGCGGGGGGGGCAGGGGGGGGGGTTTGAACCCCCCCGCCCCCCGAGCTGCTTGTGGTCATCGTCGCTGCGTCCCCGCCGTGGGCGCTACTGGCGGCCGCCAGCGCCGGCGCCGAGGGGGGCGGGGTTTGAACCCCTCTCCCCCCCCTTGGAGGGAAGGGGGGGGGGAGGTTTCGGGAGGGGAGGGGGTTTGGGGAGGAGGGGAGTCCCCCTTGGTTTTGATCGACGGCGCCGAGTGTTGGGGGGGGGCCACCCCCCGGTTTGAAACGCGCCGCCGAATGTTCCCAAGGCTAGCGCCCGTGAAACGCGTTCTCTCAGATGTCGAAATCGGCGAAAGTCCTCCGTCTTGATTTTATCCAGACGTTGGATCTCTGGGTCGAGCCCCCCCCCCCTAGTGCCAGTCCCCCCCTCCCGATCGTTGCCCCCCCAATAATCCAGCGGAAGGGGGGGAGGGGGGGGCGCCCACGAAACGCCCGCGAAGGCGACGGTCTGGGCGAGAGAGCCACCCCAAAAATGGTGCCCAATTGCCTAGGAGGAGGCGGCGGCGGCGGCGGAGGAGGAGCAGGAGGAGGACGACGAAGAGGACGAGGAGGACGAGGAGGAGGAGGAGGACGAGAAGGATGAGGAGGACGAGGACGAGGACGAGGAGGAGGAGGAGGACGAGGAGGAGGAGGAGGACGAGGAGGAGGAGGACGAGGACGAGAAGGTGGAGGAGGAAGAGGAGGAGGAAGCAGGAGGAGGAGGAGGAGGACGAGGACGAGGAGTAGGAGGAGGAGGAGGAGGAGGAGGAGGAGGAGGAGGAGGAGGAGGAGGAGGAGGAGGAGCCCTCCCCCTGGTGCAAGCACCGTGATCTGGGACATGTGGGCACAGCCATATTCTTGTTTATATACTTGTATAAGGCCGGGGACCCCGGACAGACCGGGGACCCCGGACAGACCCCGGACGGAGGAGCCCCCCCCCCCCCCAAACGAGTTTCGGGCTTCCCCGAGATTTTCGGGCGGTCCCAGAGGCGCCCCAGACGGCCCGAGATACTCCCAAGAGGGGTCCACGAGCGCTCCAAGACAGCCCAAGAGCGCTCCAAGAGACCCCAAGACCGCCCAAGACCGTCCAAGGGGGCCCCGAGACGCCCCAAGAGGCCTCCAAGAGGCTTCCCAAGAGGGCCCCAAGAGGGAAATGTCATTGATTTTTGTATGGTTTTCAAAGGTTTTCCTGGTTCTTCCTTTTTCGGGCCAACACCAGCCCGAACCGGCCCAAGAGGCTCCAAAGATGGCCCCAAGATAGCCCAACAGGCTCCAAAAAGAGCCCGAAAACGATCCAAGAGAGTCCCAAGACAGCCCAAGAGGGCTCCAAGACGGGCCCAAGAGAGCCCCAAGAGGCACCCAAGAGGGCCCCAAGACGCCGCCAGGAGAGCCCCACGACGGCCAAAGGCCTCCAAGACGCCCCAAGACGGCCCCGAAGGGCCCCGAGACGACCCAAGAGAACCCCAACAGGGCCCTAGAAGGGATCCAAAAGGGCCACAAGAAGACTCCCAAGAGGCCCCCAAACGCTACATAACACCAGGGCTCCCAACACTGAGCTTCAATGGCGCCCCCAGAAGCCTTCCAATATTTCTTTTCCTCCATCCTTCTTTTCTCCGTCTCCCTTCTTCTCTTTCCCGTTATCCTCCTGTTCCTCTTCTTTCTCTGTATACTCTCTACTCCTCCTCCTCCTCTCGGCCTCTTCCCAAGTCCCGCCGCCGTGCCAGCCCCGCATTCTCGGCGGTAGTTGTTCGAACCGATGATATGGAGGACGATAATAATGATGTTTACGCTGACGATGACGACGGTTGGACGATGACGATGATTGCGATGACGATGGCGAGGATCGGACGAGGATGGATAGTGTGGCGAACAAGAGCCATTTGCATTGTCATGGTGATTGTAACCATGCTCATTCTGGCGATGGTGGTGGTAATGATGGCGATGATGCTATGACGACGACGACGCTGCTGCTAATGAGGTAAATGTGTACGGGATGTGGGTGATTATGCTGAGGATGATGATTATGATGATGACGATGACGACGATGTTGATGAAGATGGTGCTGCTAATGATGATCGTGGTGACGATGGTGGCGGTGGTGGTGATGATGCTGATGCTGGCGCTGATGATGATGAGGCTGATGAGAATGAGGCGGAGGAGGATGAGGATGATGATGAGAAGGAACAAGAGGACGAGGATGATGATGAGGACGAGAACGAGGAAGAGGCCGCAAACGGTGGTGACGATGATGAGGAGGAGGAGGAGGAGGGATCGGAGGAGCCCTCATAGACCTCATTTTGGCCGTCTTCGGGGTGTCGCGGGCTCCTGAGGGGCACTACCGCCTGAGATGCGCATGTGTATGCGCACACATAGTTACACAGATCATTTGCAAATGCATGTACATACCCATACATACGTATATTTATATGTACATCTGTAATATGTTCCCATAGGCGCATGTGTGTGCGCATGTACGCACGCACGCACTCCGCTAACGTGCGAGACTCTAAAGGACCAAGGTGCATGGCGCGCAGCGCCAATGCAGTCTTGTATATATATATATATATAAACCCAACGGAGCACACGTGCAGACGCGCACGGAAACAGACTTGCGTGCGTGCAGACTTGTATAATTGCAGTCGCATTCGCAGATGTAGAGAGACTGAGATATAATGATACGTCTATATGCACACAGAGAGAGAGAGAGAGAGAGAGTCAGGACGGCTGAGAGAGAGAGGGACACACACAAAAGCATTCCTATCTGCAAATCCTCTGTATCCTGTATGTTTGTACAACTGTGAATAGGCCGAGGATGAGATGGCAAAGCGAAGGGGCGTCGGAAAG